GGTTGAGCTATACGAATATTCGACAGATTACATCGCCTGCTAATTGATGCCACAGTTTTGTTTAAATTTCTTGAAACAATTTAAAGCAGCTACTCTACTCAAATCATCCCGTTGCTCATTCTATCTTCCGGAAAAAAAACGGAAACAAAATTGAATTTTGTATTAGTTTAGTGCGAAACCGAATCTTTAACGGATAGGATGTACGACGAAGATGCAACAATTTAACCAAAAGAAACAAAAACTAATCATTCTAAAAATGATTACGACAATGAACAAGTGGTTGGATAGATGAGGTCATTGTGTGTCTGATGAAAAGGTCACTGCTATGATTCCTTCATTAATGATAACAATTCCAAGGCTTGATGCATGAATCACTGACAGTGTTTCGGATGATTAAAATTTAAATGATTTGAATTAACAAAATTGAGTAAAATAAAAGTTAAATTTTTCATATTGTTCTATATTGCTTTTATCAATAAAATTTACATGTAAAGAATTTTTTTATACAACCATGCATGTGTTGGATTTTTAATGATTGAGAAAATGAACGGGAAATGATAGGTAGTAATCAAATATGAATAGCTCCCATGATTGGCTAAAGAAAATTACGGATAAAATTAATTTAAAGCTTGCCGAAAACTAAATAAGGAAGGCTTGGTGGCTTATTTGACTTATTTTCGATTATCAAAAGGGCAAAAAAACGATAAAAACTTGGACCAAAATTAATGAAATAACCATCCTTATTGATAATATTCAACCTCAACGAGAAATGCTTTGCAGAAGCTTTTTGCGTGTCAATCGTTTAATTAAGTGATATTTTAAATATTCTTGTGTGGGGAATTAAATGATTAAGAGAGGAAAAACTTAGCTTTTAAAAAAATTCCTCAAAATTTTACCTTTGTTGTATATTCAGCTTTATTGTAACTCATTTTTCTTTGCTAAAATCATTTTGCAATGGAAAATGAATTCAATTCGCAATGCGATAAATTTTTCAATTAATTATATTGCAAAAAAAGTGATGTCAGCTTATAATCCTGCAATAATTAGTTTATTTTTTTGTTTTAAAACTTTTATTGCTTTCTTAAATTGTGCAAGATTTTAGACTAAACAAAGGACAATTCATAAATCAATTGATTATTAGCTTTGATTGATTTGAATATCTGAGATAAATGAGTGGATGATATGCTTTGATATATCGTGCAACTCTGAGATATGTGTGATGAGATGGATAAGCAAATGGTGTAAAAAGTGAAAAGCAAATGCACAGTTGCAGTAATAAGCAATTGTACACAAAACTTTTCGACTCACCAAAAACGCATGCAAATTTAAATTTACTTTTATTTTAATGAATTTTTATACAATTTAAAATGCTTACGACAGTTTCTGTTTCTGATGTATGGAACTATTTTTGTTGAAAATGATATCGAGGAAATTTAGGTAATTCGATAGATGAAAATATTTCCGAACAGTATCATTTCTCGTATGCTTCTTTTATTATAATCAACAGTTTTTGAAATAAAGCTCTCATTTCCTTGTTTTTTTTTTTTTTGAATTTCACCTTCATAATATAACTTTACCACAATAATACTTGCATTTCAGATTCTTTTATCAGTAATGGATTCAATCTAATTTTAAAATTGCATTTATTAGTAATGTAAATGAATTGATAATATAATATTGGCATAATATCATTAAATAATTAAATTCTGTTATGATTGAAAATTTTGCCATAATTAAATGATTTCGAATCAGTGATAATTTGTCATTCCGTTTTAAAATTAAAATTGTTATGATGAAAGTGCTTGTAATTTACCAAATGACATACAAATGATGAAGATAAAAGTATTACTACTGTGATAAAGAAAAGTTTCCAATATCAAAAATGAATTTACCAATCACATCTCTTTTCCAAATGGAGATGATATTGTATTTTCAAGGGAAAGTGAACATTTCTTGTACGATCATTTTAATTTCTTTTGTGCTTTCACTCTCCTTTTTTGTTTGTTATTCCATTTGATCTTTACTCTTTTTCAACTCCATTTGAAGTTTCATTTATGTTTTTTCTCATATCGATATTTTCTATTCTCGATTGTTTATTAAATATCTGATTCATCGTTTTTACTGTATATATTATAGGATTGTTAGTTTTGCTAGCAGTTTATGACGGCAAGAATAATTTTAATAATGATGACTGTGTTATTTTCTTGATTGCGAAATGATGAAGTTATGAATATGAATATATTGATAGTTACTGACAACTTTTACCATTATTTGTAATTCAATAATTTCCCGTGGTGTACTGTTAATCATATTTCAAGAACTCTGTAAATAAACATCTAATTATATTGACACCTTTAATTGAATATTTTTTTAATAATGGTATTTTATTCTTTTCCTAAAATTGAAGATTTTATTGTTGCACAACAGCGGTTAGATCAGAAATTATTGAAGCAAAATATTATTACAAATGTTATGTACAATTCTGGAATTCTCAAAGATTAGCCTATCTGGTTTGAAGAATTATTTGCAGTAATAGAATTTTTTGTCATCATAACTAATTATTTGATTAGCGCTTTAAGTTATAATAAAAATAATGCTTAGTTGGAAGTGAATATTCTGAAAATTTAGTACAGTAATTTTAGTTGGATCTTTCTTTATTCATTTAAAGCATTGCTAAAAAGGAATGATATTTTTATAATGCATACATTTTGTTTGATATTAAGCAGTGATGTGTGATTTTATAATCAATTTCATGTCCCCATGAAGAATTTTCAAAGTGCTTCAGAAGTTTTTTTTTTTTTTTTTTGTACAAGTTAATTTTTATTTATCATTCTAATTGGATAATTATTCAACTTCTTTTTCATTCTTTTTTCAAATACTGGAAATTATTTCTTTGTATTTCCATTTATTTTTGAAGCATCATTTTGTCTATTTTGCTTTCCTGTCATTTTCCATAGCATTGAATTTTTTAATCACTATGATGATAACAAAGCTATAAACACACGACTAATTGTATTTATTTGTCAATGTACATCTTTTATTTGAGTTCAAATTAAATTTCTAGACTTTAGATTTGCTATTAATTTCTCATCCATTATGATATGGAAACTCTCGGGTACACACGGATGACAATGTCAAAATTTGATCATGCTAACTGTTTAATAGGCCTTTTGCAATATTCCTCTGAGAATTTTTTTAAAGTGAATTTTTGGATTTCAGAATTATTTCATCTGACTTCTGAGAATTATTTCGTCTAATCTATACACTTTTAGCTTTAATTAAACTTGGGAAAAATTGGATTTGTTTCAACTTTTTTGTCATATATATAAACTTGAAATTTGAATAGATATGAATATAAATATCTGCGTTCGGTCTCGATGATAAAGGACAACTGCGTTTTGTGGTTGTGTGCGTGTGTGTGTGTGTGTGTGTGTGTGTGTGTGTGTGTGTGTGTGTGTGTGTGTGTGTTCAAATGATCGAATGATGGATCTGTTTTGGATGGTTTTTTTTAAACAATGTAATTTGGATGTAATTTTATAAATAATGAGATTTGGGTGTAATTTTTGACACAAAGTGATGCTTTCCTGCTCATTCCTTCTTCATCTTTTAGCTCTTTTAATTTTTCCTTCGTGAAACTTTCTATTTTTAGACTTTCAAATATCAATTAAAATATTGATATCGGAAATTGAAAATAAAAACTGAAACTTAAGCAGCTTTGATTTTATGCATTAAATCCTCAAACTATATACTATCATTTTATTTTTTTCGTGAATTTCTGTTCGAGATGAAATGATCATCCAATCATTATTCAAATTTGTTTATCTAATGTTATCTGATATAATGCGGCAGTAATTATTAACATTTATCTATCATTTTATTAAACTGTTTTTGTTATTGCAACTGAGCAGTGATACAGATGTATTTGTGTTTGTGATAGAACCAATGACTAATGAAACAGTGCTTTTTCTGCTTTTCTAATGCTAATTAATCACCAACTGTTCTTCTTTCCTTGCCATTTCTCGTTCATTCCATTTTTTCCTCTCTTTCATTCCATCTTTTCTTGCTTGGATTTGGTTGTACTTCCCGGTTATCGGAGTATTTTTATTGATTTAACTTTACAAAATTCTGTTTATTTCGAAGATTCAAATTTTAAGGCATTATTTTTTGCCTCACTTTTAAGAGAATTATAAATTGTAAGTTTCATGCATTATTAAAATTATCAAGTGTATTTAGCTATTCTATTTAGCGTAAATATCGTTAATACATCGTCATTGGAGTTTTTTACAGAGATTTACTTATAAGTAAATGTTAAATCATTTCATTCATTCCGAGATTTTGATGAATAAAACTTTATGGCAATAATTTGCTAATATACGGTATGTCAATAACTTTTCATTTCTTGAATTTTGAGAAATTCAAATTGTTATTGCTTCCAAAGTAAGATACTATGTAATGCATTTCATAAGAAAATTTTTTTAAGTTTTCGTTGAAATTTCAGTTCCTAGAATGTAGGAAGCCAAGAATTCTATTGATTTTTGTGGTTTAAGCAATAGGATATAAAACTCTTATTGCACAATAGTTTTGGCTATTCGAAATTTTTAACCTTTCTGGAATTTTTTCTCCCCTTCTTGTAAATTCATTTGAAAAATTTATGAAAATGTTCGAAATGAGTAATGATTTTATAACTGGAAATATTCAAAAATCTTTGAGTCTCCAATAATCCTTTGTAAGTCTAATTGCGCATGTTTGATATTGACATAATCTATTATCTTATTCTCAAAATATCTGCGCTTTTCATAGGTGAAGATTAATGATTCTAATAGCTTCAAATCGACCATGATCAAATGATCTATTAATTTTAATAATTTACTGACCTATTCAATATATTGTATTTTACACCATCTTTTTATTATTACGGTGATAAGTCAGATACGTCATATCATGACCATCGCTTATTCATACTATATTTCACTATTATTATTATCATCATAATCTCAATTATGAGCATTGGTGGTGATGCTTCTGCTGTACTACCACCAGCGTTATTGGCACGACCAAGCGTACGTCGAGGTTCCGTTTTTTCGGATTTGATAACAATTTTTCGCCGAAGTAGTTCGCATCCAAATCGAATATTTCGACATCTTTCACATTCACCAACTAACAAATTGACGAAAAATGAAAGGCAGTAAGTTATTTTTTTTTATATTCTATTATAATTGATGTTATCAGTTTTAGATAACGACCGAATTTTAGAATCGTATATTTGCCACTATTACTGCTGCTGCTCCTCCTGCTGCTATTGATGAAGATGATGATAAGATGATATGATGATGATGGGTTATGTCGGAGAATGAATACAATACTTTTGCAATAATTGAGTGTAATAAAGTCATAAGTTAACAATGCCTGTTGACTATTTAATTGCAATTTTTAGCTATAAATTTAACAATAATACTGCTCTTTACTACATTTCAAATTGCTGACAGCCGACTTCTACCATTAAAGCTGCTTCTCAGATACACATACACACATACATATACATACACATACAACATAGGGCTCGCTGCAGGTAACAGCTGTGAGTACGTTAAGAAAGAAGGAAGGAAGAATGTTTTTCGTTAAATTTCTAATTAATCCTTGTCAATAATCACGTATTAGCATGTTAGTTTTTCCTTACATTTTTATAATTAATCAGTAAAAGTTGTTTTTTTTTGAAAGATTCTCAATTAATAGAATATGAGAATGTCTTCATCGAAACCCTAGTGAAGATCATTCATTTTTTAGATAATTCTATGAAGAAACAAAATGCAATTTTAACATTTGAATTTAACGAAAAACTGCATTCACATTTACTTTACACCTTTTTATTAATATACATTAATATATTTGGGAGGGATGAAAGAAATTTGGTTTGAGTTAGAAGATATAATCATTAAGTGAGAGATTAACAGCAACGAAAGATGAAAATGAATAAAAGGTTTGGAAATGAAGAAATTAAAAAAAAATAATATAAGATCATATAATTTCCTTGTAATCAATGATTGTAACGAATATTTAATTTGATAGTATAGATTATTAATGTAGTATCAAGCATTTTTATTTTATCAATACTATCAGCGTCATTTGTACTGTTACATTATCAGTATAGTTTTACTCATGATAAGACAATGTAAATTAGTGCAAAATTTTTTTGTTCCTTAAATTATCAGAAGACAATGATTGCTTGGAACGAACATTCAGCTATATATTACTAACAAAATATTCACTTTGATACAATATTTATGTAAAGTTCAATGGGTCATTATCAGTATTACAATAATAAAAATATTGATATCAAGATCATAAGAAAGCACGATAATTGGAGATAGGAGGAGAGTTAGCATATCAAATTTAAAAATTGGAAGATGAGTTTACTATACATAATAATTGATATTTTAGGAAAACCAACAAATTTTCTAAGCCAACAGCATACAATTATGAGCAGAATCAAGAAGAGGAATCAGAAGAGAGTGGTGGTAAACCGATGAGTCGTCAAGTATTGCTGGATAAAATTCGAGAAAAAAAGGAAGTGATTGGAAAATTACGTTGTCAGCCATGGAATATGAACCGTAAGCGACGAACTTTAAGGTAAGGATAGCATACTTAGCATACTACATACTAAGGTAAGGATAGCATACATTTTCTCTATTGAATTTTATCAAATTTTGATAAAATACTGTCAAAATTTTCGACTGAACAGTTTATTGTTTCGAGGATAATCATTAATATAAAAGTTTATTCTTTGTAAAAGATTGGCCTGTAATATTACATGATAATTGTAGTGTCAATTGAGGATAACTTCTTCTGGATTGTTAGTGATTAAAATAATCGTTTGGAAATTTGAATAAGGAATTAGTAAAAGATTTAATTGAGTGACAGTCCAACAGAATATAATTTGATTAACCGCTTCGTTTCGAAATTACACTAATTATACTTCCCTCGTTGGGCGATGTTTGATAAGCACCTGATATAGTACACAATTGATATTTGCAGTTAATTGGTAGAACTTAAACAGAGGAATCACACAATAATTTGATATATGAATAGAGAGACTTGCAGTGGATAAAGTCATTAGTATCGTGAAAAATATTTTTTTAATTTATGAGAACAGATTGGTATTCCGTGATAATTATAATTGGAAAGATTTATTTGAAAGAAGATTGGACATACTAATAATTAACGACGTCTAACAGTGAATAGTGAATTTCTGATTACTGGTTGGTAGGAACTCAACCGAGTCGGTTTGTTCCGAGCTTGAAGTAAGAACCAGAATTTATACATATATCAATAGAAACGATATGAAGATGGATACGTGTGATAAAGTCACAAAAGATCACCCAGATATACATGGGATAAATCAATATTAGATTATCCGGACATGTATGAGACAAATCAATAACAGATCATCCGGACAGATATGGGACAAGTCAATATTGGATCATGCAGACAGCGAGAGATAATCTCACAATTAGGCAATGCTATGCGATGAAGAGGAAGAAGGAAGCGATGGGAAAAATGATTACTCATTTGCACATTTGTTGTCACAGATAAAAAGAAAGATAGAGAACATGCGATGGCGGGAAATGTTTTAATGGGCAATGACTGTGAATGGGGCACACACCGTTGATAGGAATTTGAATTTAGCATTAATGGAAAGATTGCGGAAAGCGGCTTATTTAGCCTAACTGTCAGCTATACAAAATCTCTATTCATGTAAATAATTTTATTTCATAAAATTTCGGGTTTCCCGAGAAATAGTTTGACCAGCGATCATTTAGTCCTTCGAAGGTGAACCGGTGTTAAAGGGGAAGTTATTTTGCCGTAAATTTTTAGAATAGTACATCAAGAAAATGAATAAAGAATATTCCATCATTTAATTGAGAATAATCGATACAAAGGATTTCTATAGCATAAATTTCAAAATACAACGATACCTTGATTATGTAAATTTTTTATATTATGAAGTTATTTCGATTCCTCGGTAAATGTTGCGCAAATTTTTTAATCTTTATCTCTGTATTTAAATTGGTAATAAAAAATTAAAATCTTTGAAAAATGAGAAATAAAAATTTCATAGGCTTCAAATATTTTATATTTTATAACAATGGCAATTATGCAAAATATATGGCAATCGACAGCTAAAGTATTATTAAGTGAAATCTATTTTAAATAAAAATTTGAAGATTTTA